ATATCACTTGATACCATTTCTATAATGGTATCTGATTAATTTCAAACAATACCAAGTGCAGTGTTAAACAGTTTTATAGAGGTCAGAAATTTTTTCAAGATATTTTCAAAAGCTTCTGGACATGATATCAAATGACATCAAATGATGCCACCACAACCTATCACTTGAGATTAGCTGATGTCAAAGGTTCAAAAATTGAAAATGTACAGAATGTTTTAACAGATGAGAATAAGTGATATCACTTGATGTCAAGTGTTCTCATGATATGACATCAAGTCGTATAATATCCTGACAACTGAAATCAAGTAATATCATTTTTGCCAAACTTAACATGTCAAATGTCATATTATTTGAAATCATGTACCATTAACACATAATTTAAAATGATATTTTCATTAGGGTTTCTGCTTCAGAATAGGTATTATTTAAATATTCTATCATTAAAAATTATTGTGTTAAAATTTATTTCAGCATTTGAAACAACAGGATGAAATGGATAATCGTTATTCGGCAGAATATGAAGAAAAATTGAATCCATTTTCAACATTTAGTAAAAAAGTAAAGTAGAGTAATAATTTTTATAAATATAATCAACTATTAATTTATTCATTGATTTTATATATTTTTAGGAAAAACAAAGAAAATATATGAATCTCATATGGATAAATAGGAATCATCTAATAGAAATAAAAAAAGAAATTTTGTCCTTTAATTCAACTGAATTATTTATGAAATAATTGGCTGAATTGTTTATTCTCATCAAAGAATAATTAAACACTTTATTAAAATACGTTGAGAAATTCTTCATTTGATGAAAATATAAAGATTTTTTTTCAAACTATTTTTAAATATTTTAATTTATTTAAGTGTAAGAAAAATATCAAATATTTTGTATAGTGTATAGTAGTGTTTCTCAATGGGGCAATATTGCCCCCATGCGTTTTTCCATGTTGGGGGCGATTAGTAACAATTTATATTTTGGGGGGTAAAAAACAATTTTCTAGGTGATATAGTAAAACACTATATTAAGAATAACTAGATATTTTATTTGTTATATCGTACAATAATTAACAAATAACATTATACTAGTGACTAGTCTATTCAATGCAATACGAATTTGGCATTAGCCTTGGCCCTCGGCATCAGAATTTTGAAGCTTACAGTGGTGATTCACAGTGAATAATGCTTAATTTTAATTTTGTTAATTATATCAAAATCTAATACATATTCTAGTAAATAAATGTTTAATTTTTTATGAAGTATAGAATTATCAAATAAACTAATAAACCCAACAAAATTTTTTTTGAAGTGAAGGGGGCGATATTATGTAACGGTTTTATTGAAGGGGTGACGATTCATTAGAGGTTGAGAAACACTGGTATATAGTAAGAAAGAAGTACATACATTCTTGTATTTTACTAAATACTAGTTCTTATTACATTTTATATAATGTTCATTTGTGTTTATACATATCTACCTATTGTAGGTTACAAATGTGTACTAGAATGAATAAAAGGATAGAAATTATAATATCACATGTATTATTTAACATGTGATATTATAATTTCTATCCTTTTCTTGAAACATGAATGAACAAAACAAAGTTTATGAACCAATTTTAATAATACAATACAAATCACAGAATTAATAACTTACAAATTAATACTAATAATGATGTAAAGGTAATAAATCACAATTAACTGACAAAATACTTAATCTAAAACTAAATGAAAATAATCCAGAGTTTAACAATTTGGTATCTTGCTCAAATCTTTCTTTCTTAATTATAGAAAAAGCATGATTTTTACTGTAAATGTTAGACCTACATAATTATAACTAACTCAGAGCTGTCTTGCAAAGATAAACTCACACAAAAATAACCTTGAAGAAACAGCAAAAATAATTATTTTAATAACTAAAACATTTTTTGGTGTTTTTAACGTCCTTCCTCCAGTACAATAAGTAAATAGAATGCCATAATGATAGTTTGGATTAAAATATTATAGAATACAAATTCAAATTTAACATGTAAATGTTAAGATATGTAAAACAAACATATACGTTCAAAAATATTCAAAAATACAAAGATCATCACATATAAATAAAATAAACAAGTACATAAAAAATTAAATTGATAAATACAAAGAAACATTAAAATTAAATAAATACAAAATATCTTTAAATAATGAATCCCCATCTGTTAAATTAAATGATGTAAATACTTTATTCTGTAGCTGTTGTGAGGCTTTGCATTATTTATGTAGTGGATGTACAAAAAAGGACCTCTAAACTACTGACAGAGAGTTAATGTCCTTATAATTCATAGAATGTACCTTACATGCCACTTTATAAATATGAAAGCTTCTGCATTGTGAATGTGTCAGCAATTCCCTATTTTTTGGATGACTTGAGCTTGGTCCCATTCAATATTCATAGAATCTTGATTAGTGATGGCATATGCCTGTTAAAGTGGTATTTGTGTTGGATTTTCTAACATTGTTCTAGTGTTTTTTTAAGCATTATTGGATGGATCTCAGAGTGGCCCCAATGTAGTAGAGATTGTGTGCAAATCTGCTGTCTGTTACAGGTATGTTGTAAAAGCCTGAAACCAGTGTCATGTCTGGAGATCCTTATTGTTTCTTAATAACCTATAAACCATAGGGTTTCTTCTGTAGGTGATGCTGCAACCAGTGGTGTTGCCTATCTCCTAAAAGATGTTCTGTAGGGGAGCAGCATAGTCCATGATAGGGTGTTCAGCTTGTGAAGAATTCCTGTTTTTTGTTGGAATGAATCAATGAGGGTTTTAATGGTCCTATGTTTGTAATCAAATCTTGCACCAATGGAAATGAAGTAATCCAATTCCTTGTTTCTATTCCAAGTATCCGTACAGTGTATATGCACTTTCCTGATCAGTGTCCAGAATGCTGCTAGTCTATAGTTGAGAGGATTATGGGAACCTCAAGGAATGAACAGGGGATTGTAGGAAGGTTTCCTGTAAATGCTTGTGAATATGCTGCCATTCCTGAATGTTACCATAATATCCAGAAAATGTGCTTCCCTATCACTTTCCTGCTTCAATTCCAGTGTGAGATTGTATAGGTTCTTACTGATATCATCTATAAAATTCTGGATGATGGGATGTTTCTTCCAAATGATAAGATCATTATATACGTATCTAGCATACAATCAAATGCTGGAATCATACTTGGGCAGGACAGAAGTCTCCAGGAACCTAAGGATTATTTCACAAAGTACCCCGAAAGTGGGCTTCCTATGGGCACACCTCTGTTCTGTATGTAAGTAGTGTTGTTAAATGAGAAGAATGATGAATAAGTTGCTAGATGTGCCAGCTCCAAGACTTGATTATGTAGCTTAGGTGCATGGTGGAATTTCCATAAGAGAAAGTCCCTCAGATGACAAAAACAGGGTTCCAATTTGATCAGTGGTTATAAAGTCAGAAAATCTAAGACTATCATGTACTCCTCATCATACAAATCAAGGCTTCTTAGCTTCTCAATCAGGGCTAATGGTTGTGAAATGGCTGTCAGATTCCAGAAAGAACCTAGAATCATCTGCAAACAGAACATGAGCACATTGTTATCAAGTCCAGCCTACATGCTCCTGACACCACTTTAGACAGACCTGCATATGTCTGGAGGTTAAAGGCACACATACTGCCAGTCAACAGACATAGGGTCTAGCCTTATGAAGCTTTATGGTAACAGTTGAGACTGATACCTGCCTTCCTGTGGATGATACAAGGCTAGCATGCAGAAATGATGCAGACACCCTACTGTTTCTTTTGGCTAGGAACCGTACATAACAATCATCCCAACATAGACAACCTGAAACAATGTCTTCTGATAATGGTTCCTGTTGTTTGGAATTGTCTCCAAAGAATTGAGATAACAGAATGATGGGCATTGAAAATCTTGCCACTTTGGTAACTGATTGATCGGCCTCCAATCTTACATCAGCTCTTCATATGCAGGTACATATTGAGTGACAAATTTGCAGAGGAATCACTCAATGTGAATGGTCAACAATCAATATTTGTCCACCATTGGTCTCAAGCTATTTTCTAGTTTGTGCACCTTTGTGAAAGCAAATAATCTGGGTGTTGATGGGGATGTAATCACAGCATTGCTCAGGTGGCATTCTCATGCCAAAGAGGTGCTTACAATATATTCTGGACTGTAGTCATTTTAATAGATGTTGGGGCCACTGCATTCTGTGGCCATAATGTATTCAAGAAGGATCCTTGTGTATGTGGTATGTGAGAGGAGTACCAAATCATTAGATTTGTCCACTTGTATGATAACAGCATCATTAGCCTGGAGCCATGCTTTGCTGGCATTAATCAAATCCCCTATGGAGTAGGGAGTGGAGTTTCGAATCATGTTTCAGATGGTAAAAGCCTCTTCCATCTGAAATATTCTTTCTGAACTTCATTAAGGTCCTCCAAAGCATGTTCAATTGTTTTTTTGTTATTTCTTTAAGGTTATTTTTGTGAGAGTTTATTGACCTACATAATTTTATTAATAACAGTTTTTAGATTTTCTCCTTGAAATATCTTTATACAAACATCGCTAAACCCGATACATAATATAGTTAACACCAACCAAATGCCGAAATTCTATCGGGTTAGTTTAAGGCTAATTACTAAATGAATTATGTAACCAATTTGGCACAAGAGATAAGCATTAGGTGCCATCTCGTATTAATCTTTATTTTTGTACTTTTACTTATTATAAGCAATTTTTTTCAGCTATAAATTAAATCAAAAAAAGTTTAATAATAAATTTTTGGTGCATAAGAAGTAATTTAATTAATAGAAAAAAACTGAGAAAAATAGAATATTTTAATATTTTTTTATGTTATTAAAATAAATAATTAGTCCAACAACTTTCAACCAAGATAATAAAATAAAAATGTTCATATTTAAATAAATTTGTTCACATTATTATAAATTTAATATACTGTATTTTTGTTTTTATTTTCAGGGGAAAATAATTTTATCAAACAGAACAGCAAGAATGATTACACTTTTCTACACTCTTTTGTTGCATTGCTTAATATTTCTGGTAATATCATTTATTAGTAAAAATTTTCTCTAGATTGTGTTAAAAAATTACTTTTTTAGAATTACATAAATTATCTGATGTAAAATTTAATTAACTTTATTAATGTAAGGCTACGTAAGTATCTATCCAGGTTGAAGCAAGCATACACCATAGAGTAGATAATTAAACTTAGGAGAGTTAAATTGGGTGTTAGTGAGCACAAAACAAACAGCAATGTATAAATGAACAAATTTAATTACATTTCAAGTATTTTCAGTTGAAACATTACAAACTTCAAAAAGTTTTAAAATTAAATGGAACATAGTAGTAAATGAATCAAAGGATCACTTATATAATATCAGCACAGCAATCAGTAAATAACATCAAGTTTCATTTTAAAGTTATCAAGTTGAAATATTTTCACTTAAGAGCCATTTTTAGCCCTATTTGATCTCTTTTATGAAGATTGATATATTGGCAATCATCATTCATTAATGAAATCACCAACAAAAACATTAAATTATTTCAAGCTTTGAGAAGTCTTTTACACTTAGATACTATTAATAAACACTTATTTACAGGCTTAAAATTCAAACATTCAAATTATGAATGTTCCAAAATCCATCAGCTAACATTCTTAAAAATTCCCATCTTCGAATAAACTCAAAGTATTTGAAATTAAGATGTTTTTAAAATAAAATTTAAATATTCAAGTTTTTTAATTAAAATAAAAAGAAAAATAAACTAACTTTTAAGTACTGATTCTCTTTTAACTTTACCATAAACTTATTAATTAACCCTTGCATTGATATTGCAATTGACAATCCTGCTATAGTTAATGATAAATTTCCAAGACCCAACAAAACTAAAGATACTATTTCATTTTAGTTTTAATTATACAGTAGTTTTGAAACTACAGAACTCTGCATGGCTAATAAAATGTCATCTGTTATGGTAGTATAGACAACCAATTTTAGGTATTTTAGATATGTGAACTCAAAGAAATTGCAGTACATTTAAGTGAATTTTGGTATTTTCCTAAATTATTCATTTGGATCACTCAGTCCTATCCATGACTATGCAAATATTGCATTCAGTTCCTTCGTTATTGCATCCCTGTTATGGAGTGGTGCATACAGGCACTACTTTTTTTACAGCTTGTTTTGGAGAAAGCCTATTTGGTATTTCAGAATTGAAGAAAAACTGAAATTACATAGGTTCTCATTTTCTATTAATAAGGGTAGAGAAACTTTCTGTCTAATCAGAGACTGTTTCATCATTTAGTGGTATCATCATTTAGTGCATGCTTGTATACACTGATAAAAAGGCCCTGAGTGGTTAATTGTTTTTGAAATAATTTAATGGAGAAAGATTTTGTCACCATTCTGCATAAAGGTTTTTGAAATGCAAAAAGTAACTAAATATGTGAAATATATTATATTAATTTTATTAAACAATTTGTTTTAAACATACATATGAATGCAATGAATATCACATCAAGGTTTATTAGTTATAACAGACATACAATAGATTTATCCAATTCAGTTTTAATTGTATATCCATAATTATTCAGTTATTACAAGTTTCTAATAGTAATTCTATATGTATATTATACAGGTTTTATATAAATTGGCATATACTGAATCATGTAAAAGAGATCTATCTTCAGAATGTAATGCTCGGTAAGTAAAGAAAGTTGTTATTAATTCTAATAACTTTTAAGTAAAATTATTTAAGTAGATTTACTATACTGTTTGTTTATAACATTGTAAATTTTTATTTATTTAACAGTGATTTCTTAACAATTAATAATGATTTTTTTATTGTAAGATTTGAAACTTTTAAAGCAAAGGAATCATCCATAATTTGAGAAATTCATTAAGAAATAAATTATTTAAAATTAAACATTTTTTTCTTTTAATTTCTTTTAATCAATAAATAACCAGTCAAAACAACAGCATAGAATATCTTATTGGCTGGTTATTTATTGATCCACCCTTATATTAATAAAAAACAATATTATTTTTTAATGTAGAAGATGTGGTTGCTGTATCTTCAAATTCTGTGTGTAGCATCTTTGCAATCCAAACAATAATTTTGGTAAACATGTAAAGTGTTTTAAATAAACTGTAACGTTTTTCTAACTAATTGCTGTTTGATTGTCTACCAAAATTATTGTTTGGATTGCAAAGATGCTACACACAGAATATTATTTTTATGATAATTCATATATTATCATATGTTAAATTCCTGAAATATATGCTAGACATTAATTTCTTAATTAATTAATAATGTTAAATTCCTGAAACATATATTAGAATAGTAATGCATTAAAAAATTTAGTTCTATAAAAATTTAAAATTCTTATCTAGTATTTACATTTGTATGTACCAAACTCCCAATTAGTCATATACGGATTATCCATGAATAGTCAAAATATTAGAATGACAAAGTATCATGAGCAATATTCATTTTCTTTTCTCTCTCCACTACCAATTCTAAAGGATGGAAGTGAGGTGAGTTATTAGCTCTGGTGTATTATTTTGCAATAGGCAAAGTTGGCATTATAAACAGCAATTTGAAAAAACATCTTACTAATCCTAAAATTAAACTACAGTAATTTGGAAAAATTTTAAGAATTATACATAGAAATGTAAAATTTAAATTTTTACACAAAATTTTTGAAGATAGAAAAAAATCTACATTTTATGTTTATTGACTAAATATAGCATATGAAACTTGGGACTCACACTTGCATTTCATTATAACAGAGTTGATCTGTATATGTACTATAGTTCATTTAAAACCTCTGAATAGTTTTTATACCTTAGAGGGCTATTTTGGATTATTCATGCTTTCCAGTTTTCTGTGCACACCTGTGCACTAATTAGCATGGATAATCAGGAGTTCAGTGTATTACTAAATTGGCACATAAACAAATGTAGTATTGCATTAGTGTTTATAATAGTTTCCAGCCTTATGTACTGAAGCAACATAAAATCCACAAGTGCAGATTTTTATTGAAAAATTTTATCACCATATAATTCATGCAACTTTTATATTATCATTTATTTGCTTCCTTGGCATATCAACAATGAAAAGATACAATTTGTAAGGACATTTAATAATTAAAAAGAGATATTTTCAAATCTAGGAAAAAAGTTAAATATGTGAGCCGCCGGGGAGGTTGGGAAAACCTCTCCGATAAGGCCACAGGTCAGTGACCTACTTTCTTGTCAAGGATAGCATTACGTTCAGTTACGCATTGCGCGAGTGGAGGAGAGTCAGAGGGGTCGACGATAAGACGATGTACAGTCGAGTAAAAACACCATTTTAAACAAAACAGAAGTTTATTTTACTGACTAACGAAATTAAAGATTACACGACTCCTTCTAATACACGTACGAGAGAGAGAGTTTACAATCAAGTTTCATACCTCCTGAGAGTCAATCAGGGTGATACTTCTCCAGCAAAGTCGGCAATTTGGTACAGGTTCGATGGGTTCGGGATAGGGTTGACGAGATAGCCAGATTAGACGGCCTCTGATACACTTCGGTCGACTTCCGATCAGCGACTCCCCCGATTGAAGAAGGAGGAGGCTTTTTATACGTTTTGCCATGAGAAAAGTCATCATGTGACCCATTGTCTTAGCAGGTGTGAGGTTAAAGATGGTTCCGAGCTGCAATAAATCGTCGAAGTTGTACTTTAATCGTCAACATTAAGACTTGCAGACGACTGCTATTGTTAGATGGTCGAATGTTTACGTTAAAGGAGAGAGTTGTAACTTGATACTTAATATGTTTATATAAAAGGGAGATAGTTGATTTCGTTTTTCTGACGATGGTTTTTTTCCAGTAAGGTAATAAATTTATTCAAAATATGTTACAGTTGTTAAAATTTGGAAGACAGAAAAACAAATTGGGTTGTCCACGGGTCGGATCTCACAAATATGTTTTAAAGCAGTAGATTTGAGGTTTAAAATCAAGAATTATAAAATAGTCAACCCTTAATTTATGGCCTTCTAACTTAGGTGGGCTTAAAACTAATATACAATAGATTATCATTGATGGTTGACGCTAATGAGAATTTATTGCATATTAGTTTTGGACTTCGTGGAATTGTCTAAATGTTGATGTTAACCAATAGTTAACCTTAATGAATATTAGGCAATTTTAGAATCAAAGAAATTCTAATGCATGGATTTAGTATTATTAAATTTAGTATTATATAGTTTATATTTCATTACAAGACTTATATTTCATTACAAGACTGCAATTTATGATTTCAGATTAATGTTTGTGAATCTTGTACTCTTCAGCCAATTGAGAATAAAAAAAAATTATATTTTCTCTTCTATCAATATAGCTACCAATTTGGCTATTAATGAGGACTTATCACACTATAAACAAAAAGGTGACAAGATTAGAACTACTTTATATAGTTTACTCCTCTTTATAAAGAAATTCTAATCTGATCATCTTTTTGATTATGGTATGATAAGTCCTCAGTAATAGCCAAATTGGTAGCCATATTGATAAAAGAGAAAAAGAAAAAACATCTTTTACTTGATTTATTTATTAAAGTAAATTTATTAATTTACCTTTTAACATTATAAAAACAAAAATTCTTAAGGTAACTGTATGATATAAGAGCACAGCACAGGCATCCTTGCATAATGTCTTCATGATAGAATATCTTTTGGTTTTTTAATGCTGAATTTTCATAGAAAGTAATCTTTCAATATAGTGTTTTTGTTTGATGCTTATATAGAAAAATTTGATTAATGGACCTTGCATTATTATGGACAGATGATATAATTATTCTATAATTTTGGCCAGACCAATAAGAAAACTCATTTGCTATAATGAACTTTTGCTACTATGGACTATTTTTCAGGTCTCACAGACCACTGTCCTTCCATTATTATGGACTTTTCAATCACTATTTTATTTCATTGCAATCATCATTTTATTTTGCCATGGTTATTATAGGGTTGGCAACTAAGTGATTGCGGATTTTGTCAATAGGTGGCCTTAGCACATTTTTTTGCTTTGTCATCGTGTTTAAAGCATTTAACCTATATTGTTTTCTTATTGTTTGGACTTCCACCTTTAATTTAGTAAAAAAATTATATCGATTAGTTACTTAGTTTCGTTTTTATTCAATTTAAAAATGGAAGAATTTTATTTTACATCATATGTAGTTATTTAAAAATGGAAGAATTATTAATTGGAAGAAAATGGAAATGGAAATTAAATGAAAATGGAAATTAAATGGAAGAAAATTTAAAAATGGAAGAATTATTTTACATCATATGTAGTTTACGAAAAAGTAATATAAAACTCATTTTTAATAATTTTTCAATATAGATTTTTATTTTTACATCATATGTAGTTTTTGTTCTTCGGGGTAATCCGTTTGAATTTCTTCCGAGCCTCGTCTGTCATCATCAGTAGAGCGTCGATTATCCTAATCAATTGGGGACTGAGGTTGTTCGGAAAAATCAATGTTTCAGATAACCGATTATGTACGAAAAAATATATTAATTTATCCCATGTTGAAATTTTTCTCTGTTGCGTGTCACTTTGCATTGAATTTTTGTTGATGTTAAGCCTAACGAAGACTATTGTATCGTTAAAAATTATTTTTTTATTTTGTACAAACAAAATAAATATATTGAAAAATATAAAAAAACAATAAAAAATTATATTTCAGAAGTTAATTTAGTATCAAAAACGTAAAATATTTGAGTAGCCCAAGATATAGCCAAAGATTGCAGTGCCACAGCACCAGCAAAAATTTAAATTTGCCGACTGAAATTCTTTCGGATGATTGACATTTCGGTTGATTGACTTTCGGATAATCGACGCTCTACTGTATTTCCGAAAAGGCAAGAACGCGTCACAAGCACACAAGAAGTTACGTGCCGTATATGGGAATGAAGCCTTAAAAGAAAGGCAGTGTCAAAATTGGTTTTCCAAATTTCGTTCTGGTGATTTTTCACTGAAAAATGCTCAACGATCTGGCCGTCCAGTTGAAGTTGATGAGACCCATATCAAGGCCATTATCGATTCAGATTGTCATAGCACAACGCATGAGATTGCACAGAAGCTCAATGTATCACATACATGCATTCAAAAAAATTAAAACACCTTGGCTATGTCCAGAAACTGGATTTATGGGTCCCTCATCAGCTTAAGGAAATTCATTTGACGCAACGCATTAGCATCTGCGAATCTCTTCTGAAACGCAACGAGATTGATCCATTTCTGAAACAACTGATTACTGGCAATGAAAAGTGGATAGTTTATAGCAACGTTAATCAGAAAAGATCGTGGGTGATGCGAGATGAACCAGCTCAGATGACACCAAAAGCTGAGATTCACCAAAAAAAAATTATGCTGTCAGTTTGGTGGGATTATAAAGGAATTCTGTACTTTGAACTTTTACCAAGAAACCAAACGATTAATTCAAATGTATATGTTCAACAACTCGCCAAACTAAGTGATGCAGTTCAAGAAAAGCAGCCAGAATTCACAAATCGTAAGGGTGTTGTTTTCCAGCATGATAATGCAAAGCCCCACACATCTTTGGTCACTCACCAAAAATTATTGGAGCTAGGTTGGGATGTGTTGTTACATCCACCATATAGCCCTGTCCTTGCGCCTTCAGATTACCATTATTTCGTTCCATGCAGAACTTCTTAAATGGTAAAATTTTTAATGACGCTGATGATGTAAAAACACATTTAATTCACTTTTTTGCTGGCAAAAATCAGAAGTTTTATGAACATGGAATTATGACACTGCCTGAAAGATGGCAAGAGGTCATTGACAAAAATGGACAATAACTAATTGAATAAAGTTATATTTTTAAGCAAAAATTTTGAATTTTTCTTCTTATTTAAAATCTGCAATCACTTAGTTGCCAACCCTATATTTTATTTACAAAAAACAAAATAAAAGTAATATAAAACTCATTTTTAATAATTTTTCAATATAGATTTTTATTTTTACATCATATGTAGTTTTTGTTTTGTTTTCTAATCAATGAGTTTTGGATTTGCTGCATAAAGCAAAGCCATATATCATAAAAAGAAAACACAGAGCTTTAGATTTATATTTCAGATTTACTGATAGAAACATATATTGTTTTTACAAATTTGGCTTATATATTTTGCACTGAAATTTTGTCCACTACGTAATTGACTTTTGTCCATAATATCAATGTATAGTAATGGATAAGTCATTATTACTATCTATCTATATACAGTATAGTAAAATCCCCTTATATTCTCAGTAACAGATCTGCTGAAAAGAAGTAAAAATACATTGATTTAGTCTCTGGACCTGGAAAAAACATTTGTGAACCTCAGATATTTTCTTCAGGTTTGTTATTGAGAGCCATTCTAATCTGATTCTACCATTTAGTAATGGACTTTTCATATAATGGACAAGTCCATAATAACATATAATTATGATAAAACAGATTTTTATTATAACTGACCAGTTTCTTTGGTCCTGTGGTGGTCTGTTATATCAAGCTTTTACTTTATAAGAAAAATTATATTTATATCAAAAAAGTTCAATGTGTGTGGGATAAGTCTCAACTTATATTCCAAATACAATTTGGTTAGAATGATAAAATCATTTGTAGGCTTTATGAAAAGTGTCTCCAACTATCAAGAAATTTATGTGCATCTCAAATGCAGGTGATCTTGGAAGAGGCATTGTAGTATGATATCATACCAACATCTCCTAAAACAAAGAGCCTTGCTTTCATAATGCCACTAACACAGTCAATCAATTCTCCAAGTCATCCAATTTATACAAGTGTTAGAGTCATTGTTAAGAAAGTATTGCAATTTAGTCTGTATTTTTTATTGTAAATATTTGTCTGCATTTTTAAAACTCTATACAGTTGTGCTGTATTGAAAATGTAATGTTTGCAAATTGTACATGTTACTTAATACAAAGTATAAGTCAACAAAACTGATCCATAAATTTATTCAACATTTATTGCACAATAAACTACACAATAACTAACAAGTTATATATCGATATTTTGCATGCTATCCAAGTCCACTGAAACCTCTGACACTGGATTCAATATGTGAGGCTCTGGATCACTCACTAAAATCTGCATTAAAATATTTTTGAAGAAAGAAGAGAAAATAGAAATATTTTTTTTTTTTGTATTATAAACACAATGCAAAAAGTATAAACAATATAAGAATGTCCTAGGATCAACCATCTCTAGCTAAAATCAGACAAAATGTTGAATTTTGATTTCTCTCCTATGATCTGAGTTGAGATGGCATTACACTTAGCAATGGGTGAGCAATCAATTGGAATGGATGATCAGAAATAGAAAATAATGAAAATCTGTGTCTCAGCGACACAAAGTTCTTTGGCAAATATCTATTAGTTCATCACAAGAAAATATGATATTCCATGAAGATCAGTTCTTTCTCCAAGATCCTCTTTTCATATGTTCTTCCACCAAGATCTTCCCCCATATGGACTTTCTTCTGTTAAGATCTAATCCTATCAAAAGGAAAAAATTCATTGTCATGATCCATCACATTTCTTGGCAGAATCCACTTTCTGATCCATCATTTGTTCATCTGAAGATCTTGAGGGTCCAGGTAGCATTGATTGCTATGCCTTTTCATTGACAAGTGCTAAAATACCATCAGCTGAAAAACCATTAACCATCTGGATCCCTAATATCCAACATACTGGTCATCTGATGTGAATTTGAACACAGACTAGCTAGCACCTTTGCTTGGTCAGTTCAGGAAAACTCAAGCATCTCAGAAATCACACTATATAGAGACTTTTCTCCCTAAGACTCTTTCCTACCAACATTTGGGATTGTTACAATTGTTACAGCAAAAAGTATAAGATTTTTCTTTCTCCCAATAAATACTTTTTTTGTGAAGGAGACCAGTGTCAGCATGTCTGTCACACCCACATATGACCCTTCTCTCATTCATCCTGATTTCAAACACTTAAGTGTTGGAAGCATCACAAATGCTCAATCTTTCCATATGCAATCATCTTCAGTGTCATTTGAAGCACCAGAAATGTACCACTTCTTGAAAGATTACAGAACAACTGTTTTTGTGATTTTCATCCAAGTAGTTATTACATTACTATCAATACAATAAACTAACAAGATTTTAATAGTAAATATTGAAGAGGTCAACATAGCTCAAATAACAAATGCACATATCTATAAGCCTTTTACCGGTTTTTTATAGCTCAAATATTTGTCTAATTAAATCACTAACGCAATGGAATTATTGACAGAGTAAATAAGATGAATAGTACTAGAGTTTGCTAATTATGACATATTACATCAAATCTAAGATATACTAAATCCTGGAAAAAAAATTCATTTTATCTTCAAGTAAATCTGATATATGTGAATATGTCAAACCCTTACGTTTAGACTTAGTAAACATAAATTTAATGCAATAAGAATTTTTGAATTTGGATTTACTTATTAAGTAATAGGCCTACTAGTTAGTCAGTTAATTAAAACTAAAAATAAAATAATTAAAACTCTGACCTTTATTTTTAAATTTGGTTTTGGTTTCAGTGTAAAGTCAAAATTAATTAATAAATTTAAATTAAAACAATGTTTTTAAAATTGTTTAAAAGTTGTTTTGAAATTTTCAAATTGTAAATCAAATTAATTTTTAAATTTACATTATTTTTGTGTGGCAGTGATGGAACATTTTGTTTTTAATACAGATATAGATTTGTGTTCTGAATTTAATATGAAAATTAAAACTATTTCATTTATTTGTGAATTTGCAATAGTTTTTATACTGTGAATTTAATATTAATAAATATATTTCTATTTCAGATTTGCTGACCATATGGAAAAAGTTCATGGAGAAACCATGATATGAATGAATGATAATATTAACAGAAATATATAATTTTAATATTTAGTTCATTTTAAAAAATGATTATATCTGTGTTGAAAATTTGATAATTAATAATTCAAAAGTTAGTTTTCATCTGTGTAAATACAATAAAATTAAATATTAGAATTCTTAGAAAGTAAATAATAAATTCTCTATTAATTAAATTATAAATTTTCAATATGTTTCAAAATTATGGCTTTTTTAACTGTAAATATTTGAATTCATTTTTCAAAATTTTGAATGAAAAGAGTCATCACAAGTTTCACAATAAGTAACATTGTAAAATTTTAAAACTTGTTACTGAGTAGTCAGTCTATCATGTATACAAAAACTATGTTCCTTTATATAATTATGTATTAAACTCAATTACATATAGATATTTCAATACTTTAATAATCAAAATAAACATATTTAAATTACAAGACAACATTAATACATTTAGTACAGTATTTGAAAAAATATAGATATTCCCAACTTATATAAACTTATGTAGACTTATATGCAAATATTTTTCATTAAAATATATTTACAAACTTATAAAAATACAGTAATTAAATTCTAATTTATTATAACTAAATTTATTTTTATTAGGATGATGATGATGATAATTAGCAATATATATAAGTAAAAAAATAACAACAGTGAATTGATATATTTTTGATTTTTCTTATTTTTTTTCCTAATTATGCTTTTATCAAAGAAATCACACTGGTAACTGTTTCAAGTACATTATCAAAAACAAATTCTAACTCATGTAAAACTTGACTTGCATACAAATTTATAGAATGAAACATTTACATAAATGAGACAAACTTGTATATTAAATGTAGATGGATTTGATAGAATGCAAAAATACATCAATGAAAACTAATTTTTTTTAATCATCAAATTTTTAATGCAGATATAATAATTTTGTTTCAAACATGCAAAATACAAGTTTAGAAATTAAAATTTAATTTCTAAATTTATTAAACATATCTTTAAATACACAAAATTTAACTGTATTTGTTCTATAACAAATAGTATTGTGTAGATATTACACAATATTTTACAAAATTCATTTCATTCACTGACCATTAAAAACCAATTAATTGTTTAAAGTGTTCTTTATTATAAGAAGTTGTACTAGATATATTATGTAAAAATTACATTTCAAACTATAAAATGCGCATAAATTAAAAATGTTATATTAAATCTTAAAAAGAAATTTCAAGACTCAATGAAAACAAGATGATAAAAATATTTAGATGTTTTTCAATATGAATGGATTATGCCAAATGAGTTGCCAGAATATTTATTGAGCTATAATAATCCAGCAGTTTGTTTGGCATATCTAACAGAATCAGATTAATGTCTGTTGTTATAACTGGATTAGAAATTTTTTTCTACTATATTGATACTTATTGTATTCAGGATGAAACATTAGCATATACAAAAGTAAAATGATTTGATTTTTGATGACTTTTAAATTAAATCTTATAATTTTCTTTAAAAATATTATTGCATTCCATTAAATTTACTAAGTTTGGATTTGACTATTCTATTATTTATAATATGTTTTAAATGTAGATATTTAAAACATATCTTAAAGATATTTATAGCAAAACATTGTTATCTATTATATAATTGGTTATATTTGATTTAATTTTTTTTTATATTTGTATGGGATATGAAGTATTAGCATTATATTAATTATATATTATTGTATATCATTATAAATGCTTTTTCTGAATGAATTATTAACATGTTTTTAAATAAAAAGTATACTTTAAGAAAAATTTTGAGTTATTTAAATTGTTCATAACTGGTAAATTTACCAATATGAATATAGTTTTTATCATAAAAGAATTTGGAAGATCAAATTCTAGCAATGTTTGAAAATAATAACATTTAAATTGCTGAGTGCATAATCTTCAAGCAAAATAATATTTCTTGCTATATTATTTATATCTATACTTTGGAGTATAAGAAATGCATATTTTAAGTATTTTGTAATCTCATCAAAATAATTTAACAACAACAAAAAACAGAAAGATGTATGATCAATTTTGTAACTTTATTTATAATTAATAAAAGGATTAAAATATATTAATTAAAACTGAGTGTTTTTTGACATATTACTTCTGCATTCTTTCTGACATTTTATTATTTCATTTCTATTCATAAACATTAGTTTTTGCTTTATATATATTGTTATAAAATATCTGATATATTGATACAGTTTTATATTTAATTTGTACAAAAACTAATTATAAATTCAAAAACTTTCATTTATTTTCTATTCATAATGTTTGTTTCTATGTAGAACATTATGTCTTAAATACAAAATGCAGGATTATGGTCATTTACTATATAAATGATATTACGAGAAAGGGTTTCAAAGTTAATAAATAGTATTCGATCCGCATCAGGTTGAACGTTGACCTCTCCTGCGAGGCAAAAGGTCTAGGATTATCACCTGGAGACAAGGATGTACCAATCGGAAAGTGATGAGGAATATCGGATTGCGGGATCAGAGAGAGAACCTTTAAAATTTCATGTCTCAAGGACACACGAAGTTCTTCCCCAAGATCCAAGTTCTTTGTCTAAGATCTGTGGTTATCCAAGTTCCGTTCCCGATGATTTAAACTTACTGACTAAAAGTTCACATCTCAGATCTGTCTTCCCTGGCTGATCAGTTTACTCTTTGGAGTTACGCTCCAGTCGTATTAAAATTTAAAGTTTCCTGTGTCGTGTTTCCCGGGCGGCCGATTGTTGGACGAACTTCTCGGCCGACCCCAAGTTTCCACCTATCCGACATTTAATCAGACAAAGAGAGCCCCGTGACCATCGACTCGTAAGACGTCAAACATCGACCTAATCAGCGAAATTCGGACCATCTCCGGATTCTCTCTTTAGACTGATCTTTATAAGAACTGAATCTTTTAAAGGAGAAAATAGAAAGAAATTTTGTAAGCATATCTTTATTCAATTAAACAGATTCTTATATAAATGGTAATCCTGACTGGGTGTCCAAAGCGCACTCACATATGATCTTCCAACCCGGTTGTCGTCGTGGCGTAAATTTTGGCAATTTTTGGATTAAATCGGTGACCTCGCAATCATTAAGTTTTTTCTAATTTTCACCTGTTGTTATTTAATAAATGTAGTAATACAATTTTTAATCATCTGTTTACTATCAAGGATTCTGTAAATATTAGTGAGGTGGCCTTCGTCATTCTAAAGATAATAAGCCCGAAAAAGGCTGGCTAAAGGTATTTTATGATGGAATAATGATTGAATAGATGTTTCAAAGTTACTAAGCAACAGTGTAATTATTATTACTTCCTGGGCGTTTCTGAACAGACATCCAGAGATGATAACAAGGACTACTGAAGCCGATGTTGCAGCTTCAGTAATCCTTTCAGAATGTTTCAGAATTCAATATAAGTAAATAGTTTGATGGATGAGGACATTTATAATTATTTAAAAGGAAAATAGCTAGAAAACACATGAAAAACATTTTAAAATTCTGATCAATTTTTGACGAAAACATTAGAGCTAAATGATTCTCTAAATATTTTTATGATCTTTAATGGTGAATTTGCTAATATATTATTGACAATAGACGATTACACCATAAAATTATTTCTTTATAAATTCGATGATTGTTAATTTTGTGTAATTTTGTTAAATTCGTAAGCACGAGAATTTTTAACGCAACAAATACTGTACTTTCACAAATGTAAAGAATTGATGTAATTTTCGCTTGTAAATACTGATTAAAATGTACGTTTTATTTTAATGTTTGGCTTCTCAGAAAAAGTGCTCAAACTTTTCTGTACAAAAAATTTTCTAAAATATTTAATATTATTATTATTATTATAAAACATTAACATATATTCTAACTTATTTAATTTATTTCTATTGAAAATTTTGAATAAAACATAAATGAAGTATAGATTTTAGATTTTTCCTGTTAAAAATTTTCTTTATTTAATCTCTGAAAAACTTTGCTTTAATTTTAATATAAACCCAGCAGAGTGTTCTATTTTTTTTTTTTTTTTTTTCTTTCTTTTCTGAAATTCTTATAAAAATTATATATCTGAGTCATCTTCATTACGTTATAGAGTGATTTTATCTGATAATATTATCCTTTCATCATAAATCGTTTCAATATTGTTTTCAGAAATTATAAGCAAAGTTGACTCATTTTAATAAAATTTGTAAATTAGGAAGAAACGTTTATCAAAAATGGTGCAGAGTAAATGCTACTTTGAATTATTAAAAACAGTTGTTACAGTTTCTGGTTATGTAACATGTGCCCAGAGGCGTAGGTCAGGGGAACAGGTTATATAATTGGGATTATGGATGAGGCATATACTCTCCGAGAACAAAATGACACAAAGCGCTATGAATTGTTCCAGTAGATAGCGAAAATTGTCAACACAAAGCTAAATTTTATGCTAATTGAAATTGAAAAAACTCAGTTTTATTCATAATCGCCTTCTTGCACTGTAAATGTAGGATACACCTTTGTATGTGCATACCTACCGGAAATACGGTAGGTAAGAGCATATTCTTAAAGATGAAGGAAAATGTCACTATATCTGCAAAGTACCTAAAAAACTCACTATTTTTAAAAACTCTCATAGCTTTGGAATCACTCATTTTTTATTTGGGTTTTTTTATTGTTAATAATGGTTACCACAGAGATTTAACAGAGATATATGCTATATCCAAATACCTTTACACTAAATTTACATTGACACAGCAATGTAGTGCTCTTAAAAACCCAAACAAATTTTCACACACAAACAGCACGCTCTTACAGGAGAAGCAGGACGTGTTATTTCAAAAAAAAAAAAAGCAAAAACAAGCAATTTTCGCTTATAATAGCATGCTCATATTTTCGCGAAAATACAGAATATAACTGCATTAAACACTAAAATTGCTTAACAACGAAAACGAAAAAAAAGAAAATAAAAAGAAAGAAAATCACTTTTCAACATAAATTTGCATAATTCATTCGCTTTCCTTATATTTTCGACTTGATTAACTTTCATCGAATAAATCAACATGTCATTAAACTTTTAATTGCAAATCTCATTACTTAGCATTATATATCACATACGTAATTGAAGCAACATCATATATATATATAACGGAAAATATTAATAATTATCAAACTAAAAATGGCATTTTTAAAGTTTGTCGTAATTCTCGGATTGATTGTCTTAACCACATCAAAATCGGAGAATCAATCTCAATCATCGAATACGAGTGATTTTAATACCAAACCAACACAAATTCCGATTCAAAATATATCGGACAATCCATCTGAAGAAACGACGACGACGAAAAATGAATATACAAATTCTAAAAATCCAAACTACAATACAATAAAATTGAACGAAGAAGGTAAGTATTTTAAATATTTATTCTTTTTATCGTTGATTTAAATTAATAGCGTAAATGTGATAGTTCCTCGATTAATTAATGTATTATATTCGATTAACGCGGTTTATAAATTTATGACAGTCTTCAAGTAACGCGGGAAAAATTCAGTTTAAGCGTTTTAGAGGTGTACGAAATACGATCGCACCAAGTTCGGAGGGTGGAATTAAAGCTGTCCAGCAGAAATTTGCGGTAGAAAAAAAATATAACATTACTGCAATAACGGAAAAACTTTATATTAAAATGGAATAGTCTCCACTAAGCCTATAGACAAGTGTTTTTTTAAACCTTTTTTTATCACACTTGAACCTATAATTAAATTTCCGCAGAAAAAAAATCACCTAAGTTGTGTTTGTAAACATTCTATCGCCACATTACTTGCCGCTTAAAATATAGACCAAAAAATTGGATTTTGTGAATTAAATAAATCAGTATTGTTCCTTAAAACAGTAGCAAGTTAAAACAATAGTTATTTAAATTAATAATTTTCATTTACATAAGAAAAGCAATTATTTGCATTTAAAAGTGGCATGATAATTGCCTTTAGAAACCTGCCCAACGTCCCACTATTTCTAAGTTAAAATAATTTGAACTAAATATGGACAATTACAGATACATTTTTTATTTAAAGAAAATTTCATTTTAAATGAAATGATCGGGTGTTGTGCACGTAAAATTTTTGCTTATAAATATATATTTTTCTACTTTATGTATTATTATGTATTACATTAGAAATAGAGTCCTGCCGGTAATCTATAACACCTTACAGGGAAAAATTTTCGAATTGAAATAACGTAACTTCAAGTTTGTATCGGAAGTTACTATACAGTTATTCGGAGCTTCCTGCTCTCAAGATGTCCATATCTGATCTCGGCTTTCATTTATCTAACTCCATTCTCGAGATTAAGGGGAGACAGACAGACAACAGCCAACCGAAAACAGTGGGCATTTATAGGTCTACAATTTTTTCAATTATTGCAGATTGTTTTTATTTAACAAAATAAGAAATATGGATCTTAAAATGAAATCTGTATTCTTAAAATGAAGATATATTTTTTCTGTTTTTTACAGATTTTGAAAATTTGGTATATAGTTTTATAAAACAATATTCAGAAAAGAAAGGAAAACCAGTCATCTGGGCTGGTTTTGTTGATGAGCAAACAAGCGAAGAGATAGAGATCCAGAGTGAACATTTTAATTATGATAAACCGTAAGTCTGCTTTAAATTTTCATTCGATATTTATTGAAAAATAAAGGTTTATATTAATTTTAAAAAGTCATTCGAATCATCTATATTTTAAAAATCTATTTACACCATAAAAATAATATAATTCCATAATAACGAAGATAAATTAGAAGTAGACTATAGTACTTACATAAAAGACGAACTATCAAAACTTCGAATATTTAATTAATAATACTGCATTAATTGTCCTCAAATTTCGGAAAAAATTTAAATTGAAAATTTCTAGTTTCAAAACTTATTATAGAATTAAGGAAAGCATTTAATTTAGTATTTACAAAAGTTATTGGTAAAAAAATAAAAGAAAGAAACTGAATATAAAAATGTTAACTATTCTAAATTCCGGATACAAAGTGAATTTAGTTACTTTGAATTTAATGAGCCGGTATTTCATACTACTATATTTGAATTTGTCTGCTTGATGGCCTAATAAAGGCAATCTCTTTCTGTTTGACGGATTCCGGTTCGAATTCGATTTTCGCCTTTCTAATTTTTTATGGTTAATTCGAATTACAACTTCAGTTCTTCGTCGATTACTCATGCCGGTTAATTTTATTGTGGGTCGGGTCTGTCTTTATGAACAAAATTAAATCATCCATGAAATCCATATGTGCAACAGCGCACAAGGATTACACGGCAATCTCATAAACAAAGAAAATATTCAATTTGTTTTATTTTTTTAATCTAAGGTTATGGTAGAGATATAAATTAATTCTTGTAGTTAGAGTTGAGATCTTAAAGGTTGCTTTGACTGAGTTTAAGACTCCAATTAATGCAGTAAAGGGAAAAAACACACGAATATTTGTGAATAGTTGTTGGTCTAGTTTACAATTCTAAGCACACGAATCAATTTATTTTCTTAATTTAAAATTCTTTTAAAAGTTCATTATTAAAAGAAATATATATATTAAATTTTTTTGTAGGATGACCACAGTATCTTTCGTAACTAATTTTCGCATCACAAACTACAGCGAAAAAATCAGCTATGACTATTCTATTTTTGAAGAACGAAGAACAGATATTCTTCATAATGATAATTTAAAAGCGTGCTTCTATAATTTAAAAGTACCTTTCAGTTCTGAAGATTATTATCTGGTAACCATGAATCCTTCGTTAAAATGGAGTTCGTGGTTTCAAGGTTTTAATCAAGACATCAATAAGATTAATTACTGGAGTCGAAAAGACGTCCTCGACATTATAGGAGATAAGGGAGAGCCTGTGGGCCTTTTCGATGCGATATTACAATCGAATGATTCTTTAGAAATCAAGTGGAGAGGCATCCGGAAGAACATTGTTGTTTCGTGGAATTTACATATATATTATTATGGAAATCTAATAATCGCCTTGAAGGATACAAACGGAGAAGAGTTACATTCAGTACCTATAAAGAATTTGGCCAATGACAAATTTAGGAATGTTTACGACTCTTTGCTATTTAATGTATCAGGAAGTACGCGTTACAGTTATTTAGATACAGTTATACCAGAAGCTCAAAGTAGGCCTGCATCTGAGCGAAAAATGACATATTTTTCTGACGGTTTCATGTCTATTCGCCCTGTCGAATAATCCGATATTTAATAGGCTATTTAATGTTATACATTAAATTTTAATTTTTGTTAATCAGGTTAAAATGAAGAAAAATACTTTAAACCAGTGATTCTCAATGTGGGTGCTACCGCCCCCATTGAGCGTTCGAGCTTTTAAACTAGTCACGAATTTTATTTTCTGTTTCTGTATTTATGATGTGTTATAGAACAAATATTTAATTAATATCATATTGATAAATGAATAAATGTTATCATTTCTATGATCTATCGTAAAATTTGGCAATGGATGAAAATAATGTATACGGAAATGATGTAATTAATTAATTAACGAAGTAATTAATAAATATATTAAAGAATGCACTAATTATCGTTATTATTATTAGATAAATACAAAATACTCCTCAAAATGCGCAGAAATACAGTGCTTGTCATGTGTTTAATCTTTCTTTTTTATTTTCGATATCTATTTTAGTTATAAACTGGGATTTCAAATGGGGTAAAAGATGGCAAGCTATCAGTGGCGTGCCGTGACATTTGATGATAGGGAAGCATTCTCTATCATCAAATGTCACGGTGGCAAACAAAAAGAGCTAAAGTCTCTATTTCTTAAGTAATCTATTTAAATAAATATTTTTATCATGTCACCGTCGCATATTCAATTATCACAAACATATTTCCATAACTCAAGTACACTGATCATGCACCCGTCTTACATTTTAAGTACTGAATCATGTTTTCTTCACGATATATCTTCTGCACAAAGATTACAAAAACAATCGCTTTTACTTTTATAACTTTTTTTAAATTTCCATTGTTTGTATCTTTCTTTTAACTGCTCCTTTTTTTTTCTGCTCTTGCCACTGAGGTTGCCTTTGAAAAGCATAAAGATAAGGAAGAGTTATCTTTCATGATTTTATAGTATCATTTGCAACTATTTTTCTGTGTTAAAAAGATGTGGTAATTTATATTTTTCCGCCAATTGAAACACTAGTTTTCTACTTTTATCCTTATTTTCAATCAGATCTTTAGGCCTTGCGAATTTGATTTTATTATTTAATCCTCGAAGATAACGTCATAGAGTTGGTTTAGGGATTTTATATTGCCAGTGTGCTTTATTAAATCCAATATCACCACTGCACGTAATTTGCTTAACGCATCGTCCATATCTTTTTGTTTCCAACTATTATAAATCAGTTTTGGCTTGTTTATAGTCTATCCGTACGTTTCTATATTCAATCCATACGTTTCTATATTCAACGGTTGACTCAACAGTGAATTTTCCGTTGAGTCCCTCCGTTGAACGATCTGACGTCACGTTTTGCAGAAAAAAGAAACGCTTTCGTTGAGAGGTCGCTTTTCAAGATGGCTGACTTCAGTAACGAGAAGGTGGCGATTGTGACTGTTTTGCTAAATAATTAAAGTAACTCGCTTAACCATTATTCGAATAAATCCTTTTATTCAAATGAACCCGTATCTGTATCATTTTTTTTGTATACTGGGTCTTTTTTTAATTAATAATTTTAATTAATTTCTTGAATATTTATATCATTAGGAAGACTTAGCGGGCCAAATATCGGTCGTAATCAATTTTGGACAAATGAAAAAATCTTAATATTTCAATANGATGCTGTAATAGCGGACAGATTAATGAACGATCTGTATATGATAAAACATATGAATGCACGATTATGTTGGATAATTTGGTCAATATTGAAATATTAAGATTTTTTTGTTCAAAATTGATTACGACCGATATTTGGCCCTCTAAGTCTTTTTAATGATATAAATATTCGAGAAAGTAATTAAAAATTATTAAAGAAAGACCCAGTAAACAAGAAAATGATACAGATATGGGTTCATTTGAATAAAAGGATTTATTCGAATAATGGTTAAGCGAGTTACTTTAATTATTTAGCAAAACAGCCACAATCGCCACCTTCTACAGTAGTTACTTAAGTCAGCCATCTTGAAAAGCGACCTCTCAACGAAAGCGTTTCTTTTTTCTGCTAAACGTGACGTCAGATCATTCAACGGAGGGACTCAACGGAAAATTCACTGTTGAGTCAACTGTTGAATATAGAAACGTACTGTATAATAAAACAAAAAATCAAAGAAATATTATGTGTTGTTGAATGTATTGTCTTACTTGTACCGACACTCGCCAGATAAAAGTTAATAATAACAGACAGAGTAGCCTAATTCCTTAAATCGTAAAGTACAAGTACGATTTGGGAATCTTAAGACAGCACTAGTTACAGTATTTCAAATAAACATAAGAAAACACCGAATAAATCTATTACGATTTCGTTTCGAGTAAACAACTCTTTAGATACTACAGAATGAATATTTAAAAAGGAACACGAATTTATCACTAATTTACTTGCTACAAAATCTACCAAACATATACAGAAAATTATAAGAAAACAACAATAAACTTACTTGTTGAAAGGATTTGTCACTTCGCCGATGGTGACAGACACTCACTACGATGGTTGACTAAAGTGTTCATCTTATTGCCGCTATATTAAATTCAAAATTTAAAAAATGCGATTTAGGAGTGCTACGACTTGAGCCACCTCACACTACAGCTCTTGCGCATAATGAAATTAGCAATCATGTTGCCAATCTTGGGAGATAAGGGTTTTCAGCAGCACTGATCAACACCAGCAAAGGAATAGGTTACGCAGACATTTGATAGCTAATAACTCAAACATCTAATTTCAGATCCTTGTTCAGTACATTCAGTAGCCTATGTCTGTTACGAAAATCGTGCAGACTAGGATTATTATATGTGCATCCATATGCATAACATAAAGTGAAAATTTGTTCATTATGAAGTAAAGTTCTCTTTTATTTCTCTCCGATTAATTGATAAACTAAGCTTCTCGTTTAGATTGGAGATTGGACACTTAGACTACGATAAACAGGTTTTCATCATACCACATGACTATGTCAAATGAAAATGTCTCATTCTACTAGTAAAGATTAGTTTAAAATTCTGTTGCTAGCGAAAGTGAAATGCATAAAAAGTCATTTAGTTTCGCTTAGCGAATTCAATTCTCATCCGCTGTTTCGCGAAGAGAATAACAAAATGAGCAAATATATGCAAATGAAGGCAAACTGTCGTTCGATCAAGATGGCGGCTGATAAGAGTTGACGCACTTATTTAATATATTAATGATAAAATTGATAATTGTTATTATATATACAGCAATTAAAAAATATATCATATATACTATACGGTCTACACAAAATCAAGGTTACTAGATTTAAAAACCATGACAAAATGTTTCTGATCTTTATGCCCCCGAGTGGCCGACTGGATAAAAATACTAAACATTTGTCAGGGTTCGCGCCTCACCAACGGCTGGTCAGGTGGAATTTTTCGGGTTTTCTTGACATTCGTAACAAGAGGACAATTTCCCTAAGAAAGTCCTCCCGAGCAACAGTCCCCCTCGGCAGATCGCCCACGTGTCGTCTTGCCGTAAATAAATAAACCAATTACGCGTAGCTAATAATTAAAAGCATTTATCTAATATAAAGAAATGGCTTTGAAATAAATTATTAGCAAAATATGAACTAACATTGTTCTTCAATATTCTTTTCATTATACATGGCATAATAAATCATTTATAAAGACTGGAAATTAGCAAGGGTCTAAGTGTCAAAGACGTAAAACGTAGGAAAACAAGTTTTCTATAGAGAAACTATGGATTTCGATTAACCTTTAATATTCTCTTTCTATTTAAAACCATGTCTAGATCACCACAAAAGAAATATATATATATATATATATCCAGAAACGAGTTCCGGAACTTTCCCGGCTGTTAAAAAATAACTTTTGCGGTATATTTTAATTATAATAAATAAAATTGTGTGTGATGTCAACTGTATGAGATCGTTATAAAATTTTTTTTAATTACTGTATTAAAAATGGCAAAAGGATTAACTTTTAGGGTAGCAATGAGTTTCACAAAAAGTTGTAAATGATAATAACGAATATCACACACACACATTCACGAATTTTCCTGTTTTTTGGGTTTCGAAACGTGGAAATTTACATTTACTTTCCCTTGTTATGTAGCCTACACATAACTAACCGGAAAAGTAAAATAATTTCCTACATTTTACATCTTTGGCACTTAGATCCTTTCTCAATTCTATTAAAATATTGGAATTTCACCAGACCAAATGAATGAACAATTCATCTTTAAGGATCACGTCGTTTTAAAATAATCACATAATACCATATTAAAATGGATAAATCAGTATTCTGATACATTTTCAACAAAACTGACTCTAACAATTTTTTTAAAGTCCTTTCCACCCTGTGACCACTAAGACCTTTCTATATATTCATCAAGGGTTCGGTCTGATAAGACCCGATTATCCTATCAATTCACTCTGAAAAATATTCTGAGGCGTTTCAGACTCGAACTCGGACTCGTCAGAACTGGATTTCTTTAATAAAAAATTAACTTAAATAGTTAAAAACTGCTGTTTACAAATAAAATTATACTTACTTTTTGGCCTAAATTTCTCTATTAGAAAGTAAAATCAAGTTACGTGTCAGATACAATGCTTTGATTTTTTTTAATACCGTTTAAAAGTTTAGGTTTGAATTTATATACTAGTAATTATAAATACGCATTTATTCACCTTTAATATTTAATCATTTTTAGGTGTTTATATGAACAAAATATACAAATTTTCAAAATATTAATTACATTTATGAAAGAATAATGAGCTAATAGAACAAAACAAACTCTACAACTTTGGTATTTGCCATTTCATAGTTTTCGATGAAAACACTGAAAATGTTGTTTTCTTTATCTTGGTTTCTTATGGCTTAGATGAAATACAAATAATCAGTTCGTGGCAATAACATTTTCACTTTCAGCATATATATATTTCTACATGATAAATTAATATTTAAACACACAAATGTCATAAAAACAAATTGCAAATTTTAAATTAGGTTAAAAAGAAATATATATATATTTTTTAAATTGTAATTTTTGTAATATTCACAGAAATATGAGTAGGATAATTTGCAAATGTTCCAAACTTTGAATAAACAAATATATGGAACAAAAACAAAAATTCAGGATAAAAATTTTAATTACATATCTAGAACACAAAATAGATTGCATTATTCGTGAATATTTAAATAATTCAAACAACTTATAGTTTCTATAACAAGTGATTTTGAAAATTAAAAATTAAATTACTTAATAATCTAAATATTGCAATTGTCACATAAAACACCATAATATTCAAACTATTGCTCAGTAAAACACAAACACTTTCATTTGCCAAAGAAAATTTCTATAAATTATTATTTGTACAATGATGAAATAAAAGAAAAGCGATATTAGATGAAAATATGCCGTAAACTGAATGAATTAGTTTTGCATGATTTAATTTCAAAGGATAAAATTTCTTGCTTAATGAAATAGAAATAGATAAAAGAAAAAATTCTCATACAAATAAAAGTATTCTCTTGAAGATAAAAGCTACATATATCTTTTAGTAGGAAAACAGTAAACGTATCATGTATTTGCTTGGGACATATCACAGTGATGCCTAAAATTATCCCAAGGTTTTTGATGATTCGTATTCTGGTCTTACAGTGATGACCGATAAATGGAAATTGAACTACTATCGATTATTCTAAAATAACATTTACAATTTGGGAACAAGAATTGAAGACTTCACTTAAAACTCCTGATGAAAAACAAATTTAAGACAATAACCACAGTTTGTATCTAACATTGCAAAAATCAATTTATGCTGTAGTTTAAGATGAAGGGAATGATATAGCTCTGAAATGACACATTGCTTCTAGTTTGAATGCTGGAATATTTAAATATATTGATGAACACTGTTTAGTGATTTTATGGGATGAATAGATTGTTCCGACAACTTCCCTTCCTTAGTTTCGAACAGAAAGTTATTTGAGTTTCATATTTTTGGTAGGCATTAAGAATAATCACTTGAATATATTTAATTCCATTTCCATTATGTAGTATGTAGGCTAGGCAAACAAATAGCCCATCTCCTAACAGTATCATAGATATTAAAAAATGGTGTAACAGGTACAATTATTATTTATATGTCGTCCATTGTACGTTTTAGTTTTTGAACAAGATATTGCAACTTATTATGCAGTTTGATAACTGTAACAACTTTTCATTTCCCACTAATATTCTCAACTGCTAGTAATTAATTAAGTTTGTTTCTGCAAGAGTTTTCCATCTCGCACCGTGAGCATAAAATTGTTCTGTCTGACAAACTTGGAACAGGCTAATTCTGAAACTTGGCCACAATCTCGTAAATCAAGAAAAGTTAAACTAGTGCAACGTCTGAGAGCTTCTAGACTAGTGTCGGTTATATTAGAACAAGATGATACGTCGAGAGAAGATAATCTCGATGCTTTGGCTGCTCCAAGTACGGCTATTCCCATATCTGTTATCTGATGGCAATGACTGAGATCTAAACGACTCAATAGTGGCAAGTGATGAGCTAGAAGACGCACAGAGACATCAGAGATATCAGTTCCGGACAGACGGATTTCAGCAAGATGCCTCAAACGTGTTCTAGTTTCCACAAAACCAGGTCTTGAGTCCTTTGGAGGTGATACGAGATCACGGATCATTGAATCGGTCAATCCATCAATCCACCTCAGATCCAAGTAACGTAACAATGGGCAATTACAACTACAGAGAGCAGTAATAACTGTTGATGAACAACCAGACAACAACAGTTCCTTCAACTGAGGCAATCTAGCTATTAACCAAGACAACTGCTTGAAAGTAATATTTGTCCAACTAAGATTTAAAGACAATGGCTGTCTTCTGGTAATCCCCAAAAGTCCATTGATGGTAACTCGACGGCGAGACACATTCATACGAGTCCAAAGTTTCGGATCAATAGCCCAGCGACTCCAAGTTTTACAAACAAGCTGACAAATAAACAAATCCGTATGAGTGAGGTAACGAAAAACTGGAAAGATAACTTCTTTTTCTAAAGCTAAATTTTCTTGTTCTGTCCTCATATGTTCAGTTTCACATTTTGTTGATAAACAAGAAACACAATCTAAACATTTAGATTTTTGTAGGTTAGATCGATCTCTCAACATAGTGGAAAATTTCTGTGATTGTAAGTTTATCCTCTCATCACAAAAAGCTGGACTTTCAGATGTTTGTGGTGTTTGTGAAACAGTAGCTATTGGTGTTTCTTTTCCAACTTCTTTGTTTGCAGTGTCTATCAATCCTCCTTGTTCGGTTTTTTTCATTAATCTCTGAACATCAACTTTTTCTACTTTCACAGTGCATTTTGACAATACTGTAGTGTTAGAAACTGAAGGCTTGTTGCTTCTATCAATTGATGATTTAGTTCTACTAATATGCAGTTCTGAACTTTTCCTTAAACCTTTCATACTTCTAACAAGCCTTTCCCGGGTGCTTTCTTTATGTTTCCTAGTTGTAACTCTTGGAGGGTAGCTAATTTCAGAACGATGCTGTCTCATAACAATATCCGGTGTCCTACCAATTGCAGTCTGTATATTAGTCTTCTCTTTGTTCATATCTTTATTTGGAGAAGGCATTGTAGTTTCCATAACACTACTAAATAATGGTGTGTTAAAAGTTTTAATAGTCTGGAAATATAAATAATAAATATAAGTATTGAATAATAAAAGATGTACTTTTACTAACAATTATGATTAAAAATACCTTTTCTTCTAATACATCTTCTATAGATTCTTTTGTTTTCTCACTAAACATATTATCTATTGTTAGTTCAGGTATTGCAACTGGTGAAACATTATTTCTTATTTCTTGAATATTTGAATTATCTAATTTGGGCTGAAAAGTACAATTTCAAATTATTCTTTAGAATAAATTAATATAATTAATTACAAATGTAAAAAAGAAAAGTTAATATTTTATTAAAAACATTTAAGTCTAGATTCAAAGCTTTCAGAAATTAAAATTGATTCTTCTTCATTTTTCACTCTTTTCACCCTATGGGCACTAAGAGGGCCTTTTTAAGAACACATTGCAGATTTAACCAGGTTCAGAGCCATGGATAGTGTCCAACTTATCTGGAACACAACCACCATAAAAATTCCTGGGTTTTTGCTCAGATTTGAACCTAGGATCCCAGAGGAGCCTTTACTACTAAACTACCTACCTGAACAGCACAACTGATGTTAAATAAGTAGATGATTATATTCACAATTCATTCATCATTATGATTATATAATATTCAAAATGTAAACTCTTGTAAATATCATTCATTAAATACAGGTATACCTCGCCTTACGTTGGTAATTGGTTCCAGGAAAACGACTTAAGTCGAAAAACGACGTAAGTCGAATTTACTTGTCTCCAAATCTACTTGTCACTAGGCTAAACCGTAAATTACCATTCCCGGTTCTGTGTTTTATTTATTAATGCATTTTTAATAATATATGGTTAGTAAGGATCTATTTTAAGCTTACAAACAAATAAATTTTAGTTTTTAATATAGTACAGAAAAAGTAATCTAAATTTACGAATGCATGTACAGTACTGTAAATACAGTACATACTTGTAAATGTATATATTTTAATATGATTTTATGTGCTTTAAACATTTTTCTAGTGATATTACGTCTTCAATATTTATGGCGGACAGACGTAAATTCGAATAAAATGACTTAAACTTGATTTTTATTTTTCCATATACTTTTTTGACAAACGACGTATAATCGGGAACGACATAACTCGAAACGACGTAAGTCGAGGTATACCTGTATATTCATTTAAAAAAAATAACTAAAATCCAAAGAGGAAAAAAATCTAATCTCTTATTTCAATATATAACCAGTTCAAACACCATTATTTTCTAGGAATTATATCCACAGACTCCAAAAATGCTAGCCAATCAACAACTTTATTTTACCCAGATGCATTTCAGAAATTACAATATTTTACTTTTTAGTGGGCTTTCTTTCATACAGCCTAAACAAGAGACAAGCGTTTTTTCAATACTCTCACACGATTTTCCATATTCCAACTGTTTTTTTTTTTACTAATCTCTGTAATAAAATAATTTTTTTCTTATTTATATTTCTTTCCTTAACTAAGTTAAGGAAACACAGAAAAAAACAGAAATTTCAATAGGTAACTATTAAAACTTAAAAAAATGGGGATAGAAGCAGAAGGATAAATCCTAGTCTCTTATATTTTTTTTTCTTTTGTTCTTAATCATTTCTTTAGATCAATATAAAATATGTTCAAAAAGTTCCAGGAATAGGTCAAAAAATCAAAACATATTAGGATATAAATAAATTTTATAAATATTTTTCAAAATAATCACCCTGATGTAATTCATAAAAAAATTTATGTATTAAATTAATGAAAGTGAATAAAATAAAAATAAAAGTAATAAGATAATAAATATCTTAATACCTTTTTTGTAGGAGGCTCATTATCACTTTTTATTTCTGTTGCAGCTATTCCATATACTTGATTTGGAGATGATAATAAACTTGATAAAGATAAAGGAACAGATAAAGGTGACAATGCAGGTGATGATGTTGATGTGGCTACAGATTTAGGCACAGGTGGAGAAGCAGATATTGCTGAATCTTTTGCTTCATTGCATATTTGTAACTTTTGTCGTAATGGTTTAATTTGTCTTGGCTAAAATTTTAAAAATATTTTAATATCACATTATTTTAAATTTGAATATTAGTTAAATTAATATTTTATTTCAATTGTCACCAAAATAACAAAGTAAAGACAGAAATTTCACTCTTTGTAACTACCTCAAAAGTGTAACAAACATTGCAAAGCCCAATATATATATATTCTTCACCCCTTCAAGTTGGATATTTATTAAAAAAAGTTTAGTCTTTAATGTATTTGTAATGACAGAAATCATTAACAGTCAAGCAGTCTATATAAAGGTGATTATTTAGTGACATTTCTATATATATATATAGAAATGAATGTATGGTGTCTGTCTGTATGTCCTTCATGCATTACCACACTGTTTATCCGATTGCCATGAAACTTTGGGAAGTTGTTTAATATACTCCCGCGAAGATTTCTGGCATAGTACATTTATCCTACGATAGATGGCGCGAGTGTATACGAGCATTTCATCGTGAGTTCGATCGATTTCAAATTGTGAAGACCATTTTTCCCCCTTCCAAAAAATATCTCTATATGCATTTGTGAACTGTTATTTACGATATTTGTAATAATTTTTGTTTAATCACTTTATTTCAACTATTTTTTGCTAATTATGTATTTGCTCGAACTTTGTTAAAACCGTAACTGTATCCCGAACAATAACCGAAGTTGTAGGAGGAAATTCGCCTATTTTACCGATCTAGGGATCCCCCCTTTTCCAAATTTTAATATCAACTCAAAATAATTTAAAAAGACAAATTACAATAAAAAGGTTTATTATCCAACTATTAGAAATTTCACGTCCAAGGAAAAGAAGAAAAAGCAATTAAATAATTAAAATTGTAAAGAATTACAAAATATATATAAAAATGGGGAATATCGCACTTCTGACATCGCTGCAAGTGTGTGGGCTAGATTTGGAGAATCCGTGCTTCTCACATGGACAACAGTATGTGGCCAGCTCACGTGTCGAAAAACCTGATTTATTCGTGTACGCACCAGACGGAAAAACAAAAATTATCGTGTATCCACAAACACTCCAATAAATAAATAAAATTGAAACGACACTTTGAAATGTTTTCCCGATGAAAATGAATAATAATAATAAGTTTCAATAAAANGGTCAGTTCTTTTCTTCCAGATAGTTATAATTTTAATTATTTATTAAATAATTTAGAATTATTAATTTAGTTACAAGATGGCACCTAATGTCTACCTCTAATTGCAAATTACTTTGTATTAATCTTTAAATTAGTGGAATTATAGCCCAAACATTTAGGAGATTATTTGGTGAAGTTTGTATACCTCTGAAGTGTATGATTCTTAAAAAATTATTCAATTTAATCACAAGTGTGGAAATATCTTTAAGATATTTATATTATATTGAATACAAATTTCTGATTTTTATATGTATTGTGATTTTTAGATCAGAAATCAGTAATTACAATCATTATCAACATTAGAACTATATGACAATTCATGGGAATTTTAAAAAAAGATTCATAATAGAAACATATATTAAAACTATACAAGGAACAAATCCATAACAGTCTTAAATTCTGTCATAAAAATACAACTGGAAAAACAATCTTGTTTTCATTAATACAAAAAAGGCTTAAGACAAGAGTGTCCAGATGTAATCTAAGCACTCTTGTCTTATATAAATATATGATGCAAAAGTGAAATTAAATACATAGACAAGACAAATTACAAAAATATCATACAACGGTATTATATGTTCTATATTTTCAACAATAGAAAACCTTAGAATATATATTCACATACATTGATATTTCTGTGGAATCATCTTAATTATGCTCTTATCATATTTATCAATTTAAATCTGTTAATAAGCAAGTAATGAAACTTCTATTAAATAAAAACTATATATTTTTGAAATTAGACTTTACATGCCTTTATATCTTCTGGTTTTCCATGACCACAACATTTCGGACACTCCCAACTATTTGGTAGATCATCGTTAATTATTCCTTCTGGTAAATCAGGCATTTTTTCTTGAAGACAAGATGGATGGACAATTTCCCAACATTCAGAACATTCCATTAAATTACATGTTTGTTCTTCAGAATCATCATTTTTATCATAACCATTTTGTCCACATAATATGCAACATGCAGGATGTGGTAACATTGGCTATACATAAAAAAAATTACAATAAATTTGAATTTATTTGAAATATAACTTACTTTATATATTAATAATAATTTTTTAAATTTTGTAAAATCTGTATTAGCAGACAGTAAAAAATAAACACTTGCATTAAATAGACAAATTAATAAGATTGCATTGTTTTCCTGGAATGCTTTATTTAAATGGATTTTTGTTTTATTACAAATAATAGGCAATGAATGAGATCAATCAATCATGGACGATCAATATGCATTATACATAAAATGCCTGCTTTGTCATTAGTTTATAGACATTGATATAAAAAATTATCATAAAAATAAATAAATGTATACATGTTGTAGTATAAAGTTATTTTAAAAAATTACAAATGTTAAAGAATGATGGAGTAAAGAGGTTTTAAAAATGTTATATGATATTTCTTTCTTCACCCCTTCAAGTTGGATATTTATTAAAAAAAAGTTTAATCTTTAATGTATTTGTAATGACAGAAATCATTAACAGTCAAGCAGTCTATAAAAATTGATTATATCATTTCAAGCAGCCTCTTGAAATGATAAATCCATTCCTGTAAGCAACTATGCTAGAAACGTTTGTTTGCAACATTGATAGTATTATATTTATCCTAACTTTTCTAACTGATTGTAATCAAGTATTAAAAAGATGATTTAACATACAAATTATTTGCATTAAAGTTACTTTGATATTCATAGCTTTAACACAAATTGTTGATTTTTATAAAAATTTTTATATACCATACGTATTAAAATTAGTATACATGCATATATATTTATATAGTTATCATTTTATCCTACATTATTAAATATACACACAATCATTTAACGCTAACTGAAACAAACATCAAAAATAAAAATATTTATATCAGAATACACTGTCATGAATAATGTATTTAAAATTCCTATATGTAGAAACAGTTTATATTAAAATTTTAAATAAAAAAAAAAATAAATTTTTTTTGAATATTATTACTTTCTAAATTCAAAATGTCGTCATCATTTCTTTGTTATTAATTATATTGTTGAATTCCATTTTTTGTTGAATTATAGTCTTTGATTCAATTATATGGAATTGGCATTATCTACAAATGTTACTTTTTCTATTGTAAGCCAAATGTTCTCCATTAGATTAAAATAGCAGATATAAGATATTCATTAAAACTAAAATTAAGTTATAAGTAAAATTAATTTATTATAGAAATATGACAAGGACAAAAGTTGATTTATTTTCATAACCAAAAAAATCTCTTTCAAATATGTTTTAATAACTAGTAGATGATTAATAATAAAATAAAATTTTTATAAAAAATAATAAATTTTTGCTTTTAGTATTTTTATCTAAATCATCTGTATTTAATATATAATCTAATGATAAAAAAGATGTTGTTACTTAAACATTGGGTAACATTTATTATAAGATTTATAATATTTTATATAAAATCTGCTTAAGAATTTTCAATTTTATGTAGAATAAAAGTTTTAAGTAAAAGTAGAGTAAAACAAAAACAAATAAAAATGAAAAATGTTTAATAGCCAATCTGAAAAACAGACAGAAGATATATCTAAATATTTTACTTACAGCCATACACTGCCTACTTATGCAAGACTGTTTCATTCTGCCAGGACCTCCATATTTTCTCATGTCTTTACAGAAAGTACATTCTCCACAGTCATTTCGACGACAAGCTTCACATTTTTTACATCGTGTTCTCCTGTGACGAGGTCCACCTGCTTTATTACTTAAAGCTTTTGTAGGTTTTGAAAGATAAGGATGACTATTTCGTTGTTTTCTTGGTTTCTGAATAAAACAATATTTAAATACTCATTTATAATTCTTTGATTGAATTCCTGAAATAAATTGTAAATTTTTGGATGAACACAATGCTACTACAACATACTAAAGTGTGTTTGGTTAAGATCAATTGATATTAAATATGCATTTAATATTTGCCATAATATCATATGAGAAAGTTTCATAATAATATTTAAAAGACTAATAATTTTATATTTGTAAAGTACATTCTACAGACCTTTGATTCAATCCAAAATAAAACAGGTTTTCCGGTAATAGCTAGTCTACAATCATCATTAATATGTTCTCGAATCAGACTCTGAAATATAAATTTTATTATAATAAAACCAGCATGTCTAAATTATTTATGAATTATAGAATATAAGAATTTTAAATTATTATTTAAAATTCTTATATTAACTATAAAGTAAGTATCAATGTACATTATTCTACAAAAACTGATCACAAAATTAAGATATCACCATTATTAATAAATCAATTTCAGGAATCTCAGTTAATATTATATTTTAAATTAATATAATACTTTATAAGCATACATCATAGAACAAATAAATGAACTGATTTTATATGTTGATTATAATTATGTAAATTAAATGATCTACATAATAATATACTACAGAGAAGTTTTTTATTTTAATTATGTTAATATTCATAAAAAGTAACTACAGTAGAGCATCGATTATCCAACTCAGTTGGGGACTGGGGTTGATCGGATAACTGAAAAAACAGATCACCAAAAAGTATGAAAAAATACATTATTAGTATAGTATATTATTATATCTCATATAATTAGTATATTAGTATATCGCTATTAACCTACTTTGCGTTGAATTTTAATCAATGTTAAGCCTAACAAAATTTTTTAAAAATAATAATCGTTGCTATTGTGTCATAAAAATTATTTTTAAATTATTTTATTGCTTACAAAACAAACAACCACTCATAATTAGAAAATTAAGCCTCGTTTAAATACTGTCCTCCCTTCAATGGTTGAGCCAGTGTTGCCAGCTAAAACACCAAAAATTTAACAAAAATAATATTAAAGTAACCAAGACATAGCCAAATATTATAGCGCTGCATCACCAGCGGACATTTGAATTTGCTGACTAGAACACAGTCGGTTAACCGATGTGACGGTTGATCGGGGGTCGGATAATCGATGCTCTACTGTAATCTGACTTCCATTTCAAATAATCAATGTATTAATTTCTTGATAACAAGTGAAGAGAGTATTAGAGTTATAGACCACTTTCTCTTTACAAATTATTCTAATTACTACTATCAATGGAAGCTAAACTTTTGTCATTGTGTTTTATAAGTGAAATTTGAAATCATCTGACTATTTATTTTCCAACATATAATCAGCAAAGGTAAATTCTATGGAATGTTTAAAACAAAATTCTAGAAAAATTTCATTCTCTTTCCAGTTGATGGACAGATGGCACAATTTCATGTTATATCATTACTGACAATTGATGTGAGAAGATTTTTTAATTTCTGTGAGATTAACTGATTAAACAATAAATAAAACGGTACAATACAACAACTTTTTGAATTAATATTTCTTGTAAAATTTGAGAAGAAATAGCAACTTTCTAGTTACTATAACAAGTAACAATAAATATCATCATAAAATATTGTCAGTGAAAAAATCAATGAATAAAAAGCAGAATGGATATCTCAAAGTTACTTATAAATCCTGTACACTAAAACCATAAAAGATTATAAATGTTACATCAGATAAAATTAACTACACAAGCAATGTATACAGGGATCAACAAAATTAAAAATTCATAATAAAAAAATAGAATGAAATTTCTTCTTTTATATATATAAAATCAAGTGAAAACTTTAAAATATGAAAGTACTAATTATTACAACAAAAGTGTAGTTTTCATCCTCAAAAAGTGTTAATGTAAGTGTAATGGAATGTAGGAAGAATACTACATTTTGAGTTGTGAATCCAAATGAAACAGTAAATTCTACTTTAGACTGCCAGTAATTAGAAAAACTCTAAGAAAAATGTCCATATTTGACAAACAGGAATAGTATTATTTTCTAATTTTCAATTAGAGATTCAGACTATGTACAAAAAATTATTTAATTTTTGAGTCTATCAATTAATTCTTTTTTCATACACCATAGAAGTAGCTTTTACATTGGTTTGAAGAAATCACTTCATAGGAATAGTCTTATTTTGTTACATAATAATGCTTGATCCCACATTGCAATAGCCACTCAACAAAAATTAAGAGTTTAATTGGAAAGTTCTCACGCATCATTTTAACCCTAATCTAGCTTACTGTTACTTTTCAACTCTTCAAAATAGTCTTAATGGAAAGTTTTAATTCAAAAGCAGCTATCCAGAAGCATATGGAGACATTTTTTAAATCAATTTCTAATGATTTTTATAAGAAAGGCATCAAAAAACTTGTAAATTGATGGAAAAATATCATATATAATGCCTTTCATTATATATGATATTTTTCCATCAATTTACAAGTTTTTCATATAAAATGAAAGGCATTATATATTGGATTAAATAAATATATATTTTTAATGTTAATAAAGTGTATTAAAACTTTTTTTAAATTTAAAATATATGCTCTCTGCCTTAAAATTAGCAGTATCTTGCCCCTGTACATCATACTTTTCTGTTAATAATGGAGTCATGCCAGTCATCCATCTAACTCCTTTCAGGGGAAATTTTTTAATTGAAATAATACGACTTCTGGTTTGCATTGGAAGTTCACATATAGTTAATCAAGGCCTTCTGCCCAAGGTTTCCATATCTGTTCTCATCTTTTATCTATCTAACTCTATTCTCAAGATTAATTAAGGAAAGACAAACCATAGTGGAAACTTATAGGTCTACAATTTTTTCAAATTGCAACCCAATAAATAAATTTTTCAAATATTAATCAATAAAAAAGCAATTTTTTTATATCTTTAGAATTAACTTTTTATCATATATTTGCAGATGTAACTTTTAATAAAAACATAATTTTACAAATATACAGACCATTCTTGGGAATCTTTTGTACTTAATAATAGATAAATATTTTAAAATTCTTATATAATATATATATATATACATACCTCAACATCAGCAATTAGTGCTTCATAATTATAAATAAGATCTGGAATACTTTTCTTATTCTGAGGGAGACTCTGAAGCCACACCTTTATTGCCTGAAATATTAAAATAATAAGTGTAAGATTAATATGAGGTTCAGAATTTGAATAAGAATATGATAATATTATAAACAAGAGAGAAAACTTCTTTAATATAATATTTTAAATAGCTATTATTATTAAACAGGGAAATGTTTCACAGAACTCAAAATTTTTATTTATGTTTGTTAATATAAAAATAATTTCATAAAATGAGATTATAATGTAATTAAGAAAGGCTTCATTCATCTACTCATCTTATGAGTTTTGTCTCCTTACACCCAATATAGGCTATTCATAACAAGAATTTCATGATCATCATCAATTAAATGTCACAAATTACATGTAATATATGAATATCTTTAGCAAAAGACATTCAGATATTAATACATATAATTTATAGCAATATTATTATATAAAGGAGAAATGATTTTAGGAGCCATTCAAATATTATGTCAGTTGTTTATGGGGAAAGAGATTCATTTGCTGATGATGGGAAGAGTGAAAGTGAGTCTCCCAATTCACCCATTGTTTATTTTCTTCCCAGTCATCACAAAATTTGTATTGTAAAGATTCATAATAATAATAGTTAAGATTAATTAAAAATTTTGGTCTGAGATTAATAGAAAATTATTAATTAAGCTTTTATGTCATTGTTCATTTGGAACAGTAATATGGTTTTGATTAACTTTTATAATCATCAAAATTTACTTTATATGTAGTGTACATCACAGTTCTTGAAGAAAAAGATAAAATGAAAAACAGCACAATCTTTGGATAAATAAAATAAATATTTCTTTTAATACAATATTAAAATTATTTATAAAAGGGCAAAAAAGCAATATTACATAAGATAATATATTTTATATAAATACATAAATAGTTTTTATATACTTATCAGTGTCAATTAAAAATTAATCAATATATTTTGATATTTTATTGAAATATAACACCTGATAATGAACTTACATGTAATCCTTCAATTTCCAATCTAGTTAGATGTACAGATTGTTTTCTTGTATTTTCACTATTAGATTGCTTATTTTCTAAATAAAAAAATTATAATTTAAAATATAATTAAAATACTTTCTAATCAGTAAGTAATTGCAATTAACCTATTATTATTTATTTATTCTTTTTTAAAATTCAATTTAACAGCTATAATGTCTGCAAATGCAGAAACAAATAATAGCCAGTGTATAAAATCAGGGCTTGAATGTGGATTTCTCACAATGTCACTGGAATTGTGCCTACCAGTTGACTCATTCAAGTGACATTGTGCAGTCATACATTGTCTTAAAGCAACATTATGCTCCATGGTTCTCTATGCCTTCTCATTTGTTTTCAATAATCTGTGGTAATAATTTTTTCAAGGTCTTACAATACTCATCTACATGTATTGTTGCTCCATGATTCAAGAATTCATTCAGCAAATGTAACTTTGGGTGTGTCTAGGTAACAAGCTGCTAAGCATGATGCAGTTCATACCAGTATGTGAAACAGACTCTGGCATTAGCTTGCTTATTTAGTTGCTCGTGACTTAGATGTGTCCATTATGTAACAGTAAACAAATTTTCAACCTTCTTGTACATTTTCTGACACAATTATGGAGGTCTAAAAACATGGAAAATCTACAAATAAGTCTGATGATGTTATATTTCTCTCTATGATAACAATGTGTTGACAAAAACTTGACTCATTTTACCATTTACGATGTATATACAATCAGAAAAACTATTGATTCATTATTGGTTAGTTTAAGAAACTAAACAGACTTCTTCAAGAAAGAAATAAAAAAAACTTTGGATACCAATATAAAAGATGTGTCAATTTTGATGATGATTATGTTGAAAAATAAGAAAAAAAATCTGTAAACTGTTTCCTCTAGATATTATTGACAAGACTATTGTGAGAATCAGGATTTGGGGATCATTCTTTTAAAAGAAATTAGCATTAAAAAGAACTACAGTGGTACCTCAGGATACGAAATTAATCCATCCCAAAACTGAGATCGTATCATAAAAATGTCGTAAGGTGAATCGTTTTTCCCCATACGATTACATGTAAAATCAAATAATTTGTTCCAACACGAAAAGTACACTCAAATTAAAGCTAAGTAGTACATTGAAAAAAAATAACTTTAGTAAGGAAAACACTGAAAAATGCATTTTGTAGTTGTAAATGTATAAATAACCATAATAGAATAATAATTGATTAAAAAAAGTGTAGTTTTTTTTGCACTTTACCTTTGAGGATAGGTGGAGGTGTAAACTGGTGGCGGAGGAGAGGGAGAAGGGAAATGATACTAAAACTTAACTTACATAACATAATGTAACAATAACTTAACACTAATTTTTTAACTTTTCTGTTTTATATATATTTTTTAAATTTTTTATTTACTGCTTTTTGCCGTCTTTCCTTCACTTCCACCAGCACTTTCACTGGATAGAATTCGCTTGGTAAAATATCTATCCAAAGAGGTTTGGCTTTGCCTACTTTTTAAAATGTTTCTAAAAGACTTAGGCAAATATCATTACTCTGAGCAACAATACGGCCAGTGTGAATCTTTTTGGGATGTTTCTTTTCAATAAAATCCGTCACTTTCTAATAATACCTCAAGATTTCCTTTATCAAGCGAGATCCTTCCACGACGAAGCAAACACATGGACTGAGACCAATGAACAGAAGTGAATAAAAAATGGTACTGCAAACTAATGTAACATCGTATGGTGAGTTTTTGTTCGTACCATGAAGCAAAATTATGTTCAAATTTCATGTCGTATCCTGAATTTCGTATGCTGGGACATTCATATCCTGAGGTACCACTGTACTTAATTTCAATTGGAAAATATTTTATAACTTTGACAAATTTTTCAAACAACGAATATCAATACTTTCAATTTTGATAGGAAGTTCATTTCCTTTCTTACAATGACTAGTAAGTTGAATCAGAAGTGGCCACACCTGAGACTTGCCGTCTGTTAGGCCGGTGACTTGTATAAAAGGGACATTTTTCCGCCAATCCAGGCAGTTTAACGAGGTACGAACATGCCATAGGAGAAAATTCATTGAAAGAAGTACTTGCCATAGAACATATGATGAAGGCTGTTCCAAGATAAGAGGACCGTCACATAGATGTCAATCATATTGTGATAGCGTATCCATAGATGTTACGATTCCTAAACGTCTCCCTGATCCAGAACAAGAAGACAACATTCAAATACAAAATACTTACGGAAATTTTGAAGGTAGTATATATCTGTTAGATTAATGTAAACTCTCTCCGACCATAAGTGTTAGATTTCGCGCGATTAGGTTAAATTTAGATTTAAGTCAGATAGTTTGATTCCTTACGAAATAAGTCCCAAATGTAATATTGGTAACTCCATTTATTGTATCTTGATTCAATTGTGTATTTTACTTTGTATTCATTCTTTAGTTTAGTTATATTCAATTTGTTGATTTATAAACGATCTTATTCATTATGCACTCCAATTCACTCAACAGGTAACTCTTTAGCTTATCTCAAATGTTGTCACTCAAACTTCATAGATATTTATAATTAGACTAGCTTTTGCCCGCGGCTTCGCTCGCGTTAAGAAGTATTATTATTAATTAAGTATAGTTTTTGCGGCTTTACTTTTGTTTAGCGTGTGTAAAAAATTAGGGCCTACAAAACTTCTTTGTACACAATATTCTTAACTAATCTGTCATTAGGCGCTAAAACTATCAAGCTATTGGGTGAACTTACTCGTGAGCAAGCAACATAAAACTGTCCATGAGAGAACATTCTTCAACTTCTCCATTAACGTTCAGATTTTCTTTAGCCATTTTAAAAAAGTCTAACCGACAAAACCTATACTTAAACCAAACGAAAACAAAACAAATGCCAAATACAAAGCAGAGTCTATAACCAAAACTACTAAACCGAAACAAAGCAAATGCAATCCAAAATATGCCAAGAAAAGAACAGCCAAAATCGTCAAATATAATCCGCTAGAAATATTTAGGTATAGTATGTACTATTAGATACGGCGGCCACTCATCATCGGGT